GTTTGAGACCAGCCTGGGTACATAAAGAGTTCCAGGTCAATCTCCACTACACAGTGAGACCCTGTCTAAAAAAAAAAAAAAAAAAACCAACAAAACAAAAAAGCACTTGGCAAAATTTTGTTTTTGTTTACAAACTGCGAGTGAGAAACACAATCATGGCCATTTTTTCCAAATTGTGGTGTGGAATGAATTAAGTTCATGAATTTAAATGTAAATACCACAAGAACTTCAGGAAAAATTCATATTTGCAAGGCTTCAAGATGTTTCCCACCTAAAGTTTGCTGCACCAAAGCTCAGTGAACTTGTGAACCTTTTGATTTCTTGATCTGAGGGTGAATGTTTTCTGTCCCTCTTGTTTCTGCCTGCAGGCTACAGAAATGTCAACTTTAGCCCCTGCTTCTCTTTCATGATCGCCTACTTCCTTGTCCTTATATACTCAAAGAAATTCTTTTCAGTGGACATTGTTTATAAGCACAGATTGTATCCATCATTTTTCATCACTACTATGAGTCCTAAATAGAAATATTATCCCCCAGAACTGCAAAATAAAAAAGAAACACTAACTTAAGGCTGTAATGCTTCCTCTTACCTTTGGGAAAAATTTTGTAAAATCGACACCAATGAAGAGTTGATGAAATTGAAAACTAAAGAGATTCATAGCTGGGTAGAACTTTCTAACTCAGGACTGGTCTGTCACACTTCTACAATTTACTACCTAGAATATATAGACTATTTGTTTAAACACTAAAGTGTTGACTTTTTAAATTTCTCAAGACTTTCATGATTTTTTTTGTTTTTTGTTTTTTGTTTTTTTGTTTTTTGAGATAGGGTCTCACTATGTAGTTGAGACTGACCTGGAACTCACTATGTACCCAGGCTGGTCTTGAACTCACAGCGATCCTCCTGCCTCAGCTTCCCAAGTGCTGGGATTACAGGCGTGCGCCACCATGCCCAGCTCATGCATTATTTTTTCCCATGAAAAGATAATCACAGAAAAGTGGATGATGATTTAAATGGAAAAAAACCCTGAAGGTCCTGAAGCTGAAACCACGAGTACCGCCTGCACACTGCTGCATGGGTTAGGTCTCCCACACTCTTTAGAGGTGGGTGGGGATCTGGCCCCAGGCTCCCTGGCAGCCAGACAGGAGAACACCACAGACTGTCACCTCCCTGTCTGTACCATAAACCCTTAGTCAGCTCCAGAGAAACCCATCTGTCCTAAACCAAGCCTAGGTAGCAGTTTCTTCCCCGGGTCCCACTGAGGGCACATTGAACTGACAACAGCATTCCCAGAACTGCTATGGCAACGGAGAAACAGTGAAAACATCTGGATGTGGGATCCCATGTCCATGTCATGAAGTTTAATGCAGAGCCCAGAGAGCTGGTATTTGCTTAAAAACCGAGCGAAATAAATCTTGGCAAATTCAATGGGATCACAAGACATTCTTCTAGCAAATGATTGATTTTCTCAGCTGTTTTTTGGGGGTTTTTCCCCCTATTTTTCTTTTTTTTGGTACCAGGGATCGAACTCAGGACTTCGCATTGGCCAGGCAGGTACTGTGCCCTTGAGCTACATCTCCAGTCCTCAGCTGCCTGTAGGTGAGTCTGAGGTGCCTATGAATGGTTTAGGATCCTAATGCTAGATAGTCATAGATGAAAACACTGGTAATGATAGAAAGTATTAGAGAATCTATTCCATTAAAACATGCTCACCATATCAGATAAATTTCAATTTCTTTTGAAAGGGAAAATATCTATTACAACTTCTATGTAAAAGTGCTAGTCTATTGACTGTCTTATATCATAAGACAAAATATCAATATTTAAGACAACAACTTTGACACTGGCAACAACAGTGTTCAAAAGTATATTTACCTCCTCTGGTAGAACAACAAAATGACAATTTTCAAGATAGAAAGGGCTTTTAATACCGATCAGACAAATCCCCTTGTTTTGAAAAGGGGACATAAAAAAAATAGGCCTAAATAGACGGAATGACTCTGCTAATTAACAGGGCTAAGCAGTGGCACAGCCAGGCGGGTGGTACTGAGATGCCGCAGTGCCAGTCTAATGCTGATGCAGTTTGCTGCCCGTTCACATCCCGCAGCCTGAGCATATTTCATTTATATACCAGAGTTAGGTCAACTTAGCCTCAACACTTAGCCTCAACTTTCCTGAATTTCACAGGTACCTCATGTAACAAATACGCACTTGCCAAGATACAAAACCATTTCTGGTGTTAGAGTTTGCTACAAAACAGCATGAATACCGTTTAATTACAGTAAATAAAAAACAAAATCTTTTTTAAAGGCACAAATCCCTCAGTACTGCGAAGGTGGCAGTGCCTACTGTTTAGTAGACAAACTGGTCAAGAATTACTCTGAGATTAACGTTGTCAATGTCTGGTGCAAGTTACAATCCCAACACGACCAGTTGCTCTCTTCCTGGGAGAGCACTGGACTCAGAATTACAGAATACAATGCACCACTTACAATCACAAAGGGGAGAGAAGCAGGAAGGCATTCAACAAGATCTGATCATGAAAACAACACCAAGTTAACATCTTTCAATTTAAGATAACCATAGACTTTGTTTCTGAGTTAAAAAAAGCACCCTTGAGTCTTAACCCTCTCTCCAGAATACACTTGAAACATAGCTTATAAGGACTCAAATGCTGCATTAGGAGAGCAAAATCTAATCATCAGGAAGTTTTTCTGTGTAAGTAGCAGGATTCCCAAATTATGAAAGGTACAAGCAGGCAAGAGCTTTTTCTGTGTAGCTGTCATTCACCAGGCACCACAGTCGTGTGCAGCAGCGTCATGGCACACACAGGTGGCAGCAGGAGCCCTGGGTTGCCTGACAGCAGCCTGATCAGGGTGCTGAGGGCAGAGCTTGGTCCCAGGCAGGCGCAGCCCCAGGGCACAGCACCCTCTCTGCTGTCTGTGTCCTGGCTGAAAGTGCTCAGAGCAACTCTGCTCCCAAGACCACATCCACGCCAACAAACAGTTTCTTCCCCACCCACAAAACAATTACCCGCCTACCACAAGAGGAGGAGGACTGTATTTTTCAGTTTTGCAAGGCTCTTACAGGGCAGACTCTAGTGTCAGAGAACACCAATTACAACCAACTGGGAATGTGGATTTGCCACAGCGCAATGACAAGTCCTTGCAAGCCAGTATTTTATAGCAGTCAGGTCACAAGCTGACTTTTTTTTCCTAGCTGCTTTTTAAGGATTCAGGGATCTGAAGGTTTGTAGGAAAAAATGCATAAAATTAAAACTACCAGGCTCACTCTTACAGGGGTGCATGTTATCAGATGGGTGAAAAGGTCGTCTCCACCTCTCAGGATGAGCGCCGATGCTGACTTAAAATCCCGCAGCTCAGAAACCTTCAGAAGGCTTCAGATGATTAATCAACTATCGCTCTATTATTAGGCCGGAGGTGCCCCATGTTTTCTCCTTCCTTTCTAAGGCAGCCACCCTCCTGCCTGGGCAGGTCGGCAGCCGGAGCACCCCGCATGGCATCGGATGGGTCCCTGAGAACGCTAGGCAAAGGCTCCTGCGGGCGTGTGCAAACCTGCCCTGCTGAGAGGCGCCAGGTTCATTCCCAGCCCCAAGAAACTTAAAGGTTTAACAGAAAACAACCATTTGTATTTCAGTGGTGCAGAGTCAAGAGACATAGCCTAGCGTTAGACTGAAATGTAACACTTACAATAAAAGTACAATTCTGGGGCCAGGGATTTAGCTCAGTGGTTCGGTGGCCTGCCTTGCCAAGTGCGAGGACCCGAGTTCAATCCCCGGTACCGGGAAAAAAAAAGTAGAATTCTTAAGAAGCCTCTCCCCCCAACTAGTGTAGGAAATCTGTCTTCTCCATTCCAAGGCGTCTCCTCCCGCCCCGCTTTCCCCGGTTGAACCCGGGGCGCCCCTTGGACCCCACCGGAAGGGGTGGGGAGCGCCCAGGGAGCAGCTGCAGGCCGACATCTAGCAGGCGGCTGGCTGTGAAGGCCGGGGCGCGGACAGGGAGTCGGATCGGCCCTTCCAGGCTCAGCCAGGGCTGCGTGTCCTTGCGCCCCAAGCAGCCCGGGCCGGCCCGCGATCGCACTCTTCCTACGCAGCCGCGGAGCGCGGGAGCAGGCGGGCACCCGCGGGCCGGGCTTCCCCCGTCTGAGGTGGCAGCTTTGGAACACACGGGAAAGCATTTAAAATGCGTTTAAATACTTCCTGCATGAATCCAAACGCGAAGCCCTGAGATGGGGGGGCTACAAAAACAAAACCAGAAAGAGCAAGAAAACTCCCAAAAGAAATAGGAAGTGAAACTGCGAGGCAATCCCTGCTTGCTTTTTGCTTTCTTTTCACACTGCAGAGTAGAAGATAAAAATTAAGCATTTCTCTTTAACAGCCTGAAACTAATCTCTGGGCGCGGAAGGGAGGGAGGCTCTTTCCAGAAGCTGCAGCGGCATCGCATTGACTCAGCTTCGCCGGCTTCCTGGGTCTGCTTGGTGCACACTCCCGCGCGTGAGCGTGTCCCGCTCCGGCACTCGGCAGCGCACACCCGCGACTCC